CACTATCCACATTGAAGCAATATGGAGTAGTGGAACTAAGGACATCCCTAGATCCTTCAACCAAATAAATTATGAAGTCATCTAAGGGATTCCTAATTTTCCTTTCTCTTTTACTTCTTCTAACATGAGGAATCTCATCCTCATTATTAGATGAACCTTCATGAGAAACATGTTGATCATCATAATCAACAATTTCCTTTCCTTTGGTACTAACTTGTAGATCCTTTGGTCTACTCATTGATGAAAATCGATTTTCATCAAATATTGCATCTCTTGACTCAATTATCGAATGTTTCGAAATAAAGTCACTTTGTTCAATCACATAGAACCTATAGGTTTTGCTATGCTCAGCATAACCTATAAAAATGCATTCCAAGCCCCTTTCACCGAGCTTTCTCTTTTTGTTGCCGGGCACTCTTACAACTACCCTACAACCCCAAACTTTTAGATATTTCAAGTTTGGTTTCCTTTTGTACCAAAGTTCATAAGGAGTGGAATCCTTTCCCTTAGTGGGAACACGGTTAAGTATGTGACAAGCCGTCAACATAGCTTCACCCCAAAATCCCTCACTCAGACCGGAGTAAGATAGCATGGAGTTAACCATTTCTTGAAGAGTTCTGTTCTTCCTTTCAGCTACACCATTTGATTGTGGTGCATAACCAGCTGTAGTCTCATGAATAATACCCAAAGATTGGAAATATGCCGGATCATAATACTCTCCTCCCTTATCTGTTCTCAATCTCTTAACAAAAGATTCTACTTGCACTTCTACCTCTTTCTTATAAATATCAAATTTAACCAAGGCTTCATCTTTGGAATATAAAAGATACACATAGCAAAATCTTGAAAAATCATCAATAAACGTAACTATGTATCTTTTATTTCCCAAAGAAGGTGTACTATAAAAGTCACACAAATCACTATGAACCAATTCTAAGATCTTAGAACATCTTTCAACTTTCTTGAAAGGAGTTCTGGTGATCTTATTAAGCATGCAAGTAGGACATTTATCAAGAGCAATATCACATGGAGGAATAAGTTCTAGTTTAGACATGAAAGACAACTTATTGTAATTGACATGACCTAATCTAGAATGCCATAAATAAAATAACTTCATACTATTGTCATTACCAACATTAAAACAAACATCATCCAACATTACAGACCTCTCTCTTAAAGAGAGTTGAAACAATCCATGAGACAAATAACAACGTCCAACAAAAGTGCTACCCTTAGTTATAATACATCTATCTGCTTCAAAAACTAGTCTAAATCCAAGTCTATTCAGGGTTGGGCCTGATACAAGATTTCTAGAAATACTAGGAGCATATAATACATCCCTAAGGATGATACTATTGCCCGAACTAAACATCAGCTCAACTTGTCCTCTTCCTTGGACCATGATGGTAGAGTTGTTTCCCATAAAGAGCTCTTCTCCATCACCAACCTTGTGAAAGGTTTTGAACCAATGCTTCACCTTGCATACATGCCTTGAAGCCCCCGAATCCATCCACCAAGAGTCATCATCCTGCACCATAAAAATGTTAGGATCCGTTGCATTTAAATCCATACCGGAATTAAATTCAACCTCATGTAATAAATTACCTTTGGTGGGTTGGTCCTTGCTTTTAAAAGCTTGACCATCCTTGGATTTCTCCATTTTCTTCTTGAAAATGTAGCAGTCCTTCTTGCGGTGTCCAGTCTTACCGCATTCCCAACAAGCATTCTTGTTGTTGTCCTTTTGTTTCTTGGACATGCCCTTAGAGGAATTGAACTTCTTCCTCTTACCACTAGTTGAAGCACTAGATTTGCCTTCCTCCACCATATTAATGGTGGATGAGCTAGGATTTCCATCCTTAGCCTTCTCCATGGCCCTTATCCCCTCTTCAATTTGAAGATGGGTAGCCAAATTGGACAAAGATATGTCCTCCTTTTTGTGTTTTAAGTCATGCTTAACATCTTTCCAACTATTGGGCAGCTTATCAATAATACTCGAAACAACAAACAATTCATCAACATTGATACCATGTTGTTTCAAGTTACTATAAATACGTTGTATCTCATGAAATTGGTCCATAATCAATCTACCTTCAACAAACTTAAAGTCATTAAAATTACTTACTAGGAATTTCTTGCTAGAAGCATCCTCCGCCATATACTTGCTTTCTAACGATTCCCATAGCTCTTTAGCAGACTCGACATGTTGATATACATCAAACAAATCATCCTCCATCCCATTGAGAATGTGACCCCGACATATAAAGTCATCATTATCCCACTTCGATTTCTCACGCACATCCTCCATGGTTTCATTCTCATGTTCTAATGGCCTAGGAGTACTAATCACATAGGCAACCTTCAACGATGTAAGAAGAAAATACATCTTCTTCTTCCATCGTCGAAATTCCACACCGTCAAACTTCTTGAGTTTGACAAAGTTTGTGGTAAGATCTTTCACACTAGACATGTTGTGTAATTAACTCTTTAGATTGTTATTTAGATTGTTATATCAATATAATGCTAGAACAAATTCTAACCCTAGAATTTGATAAAACAGAAAATTATAAAGAAGAATAATATAAATTACACTTCCAACCAAACACCAACAAGTTTAGAAAATACCAAATACAGAAAATCAATCTAAACTATAAGTATGAAAGACTATACTTGCCTCTTCCTTGCCAAAAGAACAACCAAGATCATGAGAATACCATGGACCACGTGAGTCTTCGATTCTTGATACTCGTCTAAGGCGTGAGAACACTTTCCTAAAGCGTTAATCTCCCCCACAACGGTGCTTGGGTTGAACTAGAAACACGCTTTGAGATACAATAGACGAACACTACACACTAAGCACTTAGATGTGTAGAAAGATGATCAAATTCTCAAACCATAAACTTAGAAGATGAAGAATCAAAGAAGAGATTGCAAGTTTCTTCTTTAAAGGTGTAGAGAGCAAAATTTTCAGAGAGGAAGTTTTTCTGTTCTTTTCTATTTCAAAGAAAACAAGGCCCCTTTACGGTAATAAAGGAAATAACCGTAAAAAACCGAAGACGAGCGAGGAGGCGCGGGCGCGAGCGAGAAGGCGCGGGCGCGCCACCACAGCAGCGCGGGCGCTCCACCATGGGGCGCGGGCGCGCCAACCCTGCGCGCGGGCGCGCCAACCCTGCGCGCGGGCGCGCCACTTGCTCGCGCGGGCGCTCCTCCTCGTTCTTCCAAAATTCCAACTTTTCCAGAAACCTGACACGATTTTGTCGCGGTTTAGGCGCGGGTCGCGCCAAACCAAGGCGCGGGCGCGCCGTCCGGAGGCGCGGGCGCGCCTCCTAAACTTTACAGTTTCTCCAGAAGCTCAGCGCGATTTCGTCGCGCTTTTGGAGCGGTCCGCGCTTGTCTTTCACAAGCGCGCTAACAAGTGGAGCGATCTCTCCACTACAACACTCTAAATAAACCAACACAGACAAGATCATCATCCATCAATTCAATTACATTCCCCAACAGCATACAGAAGCAACATGTACTCACAGGCAATCGTTCAACAACAATAAACCACAAACAGGCTACATAAGTAACACTAAAGAAGGACTCATAAAAGGAACTCATAATCACGTACAAACATAAATGAGCAGAAATTAAGGGTTAGATAGTAGTTACGCTACATAAACAATTGTCAGGGAACATTTCTAGATGGAACTCCTTTAGATAAGACAAATAATCATCATCAACATTGTCCATATCAATAAGTACCCAGATCGAACCCTTTTGAGTCCAGAAATAGGACCCTTAATTGCTCTGCAGCTTAGCAGGAGCAGATTTAGCAGCCTCAAGCTCGCTAATAACAGCAACTTCCAGGGTATCCGCATCCACAACTGCCTTCCTTTTCAGATCTAGGCAGAGGGGAACAACTTTAGCCTTACCAACAACTTGTTTGCCTAGATCTGGCTTAGGAACCTTTTCCTCTTCAACTTTCTTTCCAAGATCTGCCTTATCAGAAGAATCCTTCTTTTTAGAGATGTACTCTGAGAGCTTAGCACCACCACCTCCTTTTTTGAATCTTGTCCACAGCAAGAGCTTCGACGAACTGGTTTCATTTTACCAATTCCTCGCTCGCACTTGTAGCGCTGAACACCAAGAGGTGGAAGGGCGATCCTGTTTCTCAACACCCAGATTCTAGTACGCGAAGATATCAGATGATTTCTCAGGTGGGGAACTCATAATTTTGGAGGAAATTGTTCAGATCTGAGAAAGAACAAGGTCGTAATTTGGAGAGGAGAGAGAGAAGAGAAGTTGAGAGGAGAAGGTGAAACGCGTGGAGTGCAAGGAGTGGGGGTTTTATTGACAGATCTGGGTTAGGGCTTGAAGCCATGGAGTAAATGCAGGTGGTTGAAGGTTGAAGGTTGCAATAAATGATGAAGCTGGGTAGTTGAATCAATTTGGGGGAAGTGATATTAAAAGGAAATGAATGAGGAAGTGGGATCAGATTTTTTGGCGGGAATGGTTAAATAGTAATGTTAGATTAGGACTTTAATTGTTTTTAGTTAAGTGTATAAGTGTATGTTAATCATTTTATAATAAGGGCAGGTTGGTATTTTGCTATTAAAAACTTATCAAAAAAGGTAAAAGAAATTGGTTGTAATTAAAGCTTAGCATCCATTTATAGTAATTGTAGCAATTAACCATTAATGGAGGAAGTAACTTTTAGTTGCAAGTCTTGCGACACTTAAAATGTATATACATATTAGCTTATTACTCCATAATAAATAAGCTCATAAAAGGGTTAATAAGTTCATATAAGTTTCGATGAACTCTAAAAGTTTAAAATAAAGTTAGAGAAGGAAATCCACGTAAATTAAATGTTCCTTTATCATAAAACTGTGTAAAAGAATATGTAGACTTGTGTAAGAAAAAAAAATGAATAAATTACGATATTTATTACTCCCTCCTATTCTTTTTTTCTTTTTCATTTGGGGATTTTTTTTTTTGCGAGATAAAAATAGTCAAAGTAAAAAACAATATGGAGTATAAGTATCGAAAGGATTTTTATTAATATTTTTTTTATTTTAATTATTCAGAAATTAGAAGATTGGGATTGCCGGATTGGCATTGGTATGTCACCAGTCACCATAATATTGCACATAAACCATCCACGTGCTAGATGATACATGCATTAGCCCCATGCACAATCTACTAAGGACACGTCTTTGATCTCACCCCAAACTTTTATTATTTCTTTCATATTTATTTGGTTGAATAAATAACCAATATAACAATTCTACTTATAAATTAATAAGTGTACCCCTTATGTCAAATTTAGTGCCCAAAAAAAAAAATCACAAATTAAAGAGATAGTGTAACAAACTTATTTTGGAAAACAAAAAGAATAACCTAGGATTAAGAAAAAATGCAAATAATAACACCACCACAACATGGGGAAAGTATGAGAGAATCAAAATCTCAAATGATGAGAAGTATATGTGAAAAAAAAGTGAGTGATTTAGTGTTAGAAAAGAGGAGGCTAGTGGAGGTGCCCTACACAGCCACCCTAGCAGACACCATGAACACCCTAGTGGCCAACCGTGTCATGGCGGTGCCGGTAGCGGCACCGCCAGGACACTGGATAGGGGCAGGTGGATCAATGATAATGGAGACTGATAAACACACTGGGGCAGTAAGAAAACATTACATAGGTATGGTAACTATGTTGGATATATTGGCTCATCTTGCTGGCGATGATGCTGTTAATGGTGGTGATTCTACTAGTGATGTTGATAACAAGTTAAATGTTACTGTTTCTACTATTATTGGTCATTGTCTCGAGGGTTTGAGCTTGTGGACTCTCAATCCTAATACTAGGTAAAAAAAAGCTACTTGTATATTTTCATTTAATTTTGTGCTATGTTTTTTCTGTATTTTTTTACTTGTAATGTTTTGATCTGATATTACTTTCATGCTTGATAATGTATAATAATAAATATCATTAGTACCAATTGGTTGTTGGTGTAGTGGTGATTGGGGCTACACTTGGTAGTGATTGGGGCTACACTTGGTAGGAAGGGTCGCGTATTCGATCCCCCGCAACCATAATTGGGAGGGGATTGGAACCTAACCACCCAAAACTGATCCTCAAATTCGTATTAGCCCAAACCAGGTGGAACACCAAAAAAAATAAATATCATTAGTATCTTTAATTATTAATGAGTAATAATTATAAAATTTTTGAAAATTGTATGTATTTAGTGATGAATATGATAGGAGCTCAAATTAATATAATGTTCTTTAATTATTTATATAAATTATTAAATCATTAAAGATAAAGTCAGGTAGACTATGTGAATAATACAAAAGTCAAATTTTCACGTTATAAAAAGAAAGTATATATTAAACAATACAAAGGAAGTTTATCCCCTAATACAAGAGCTAGGCTCGTTTTATTATGTGTACTCTCTTCAGCGGAAAACATTGTTCCAAATCGTGGTATTCTAATTAGAGAATACTTTTAACTTTTTAAGGTTCTCTTGAGTTAATATACCATACTTTCCCACAATTATTTGTACAATATCTATTATAACGAGCATCTTATTGTGAAATTTACCTATAAATCTTCTTCAATAGTGCAGTGGTAATTAATGTGACATATTAAAGTGGTATGGATGATGTGATAAACAAATAAACTTGGATGGACACTTATTTTGCGTAATATTTCTACACAATAATGTTTGTGACTTCGTGCTGGTTTGGTAGAGGGAGCCCCAGTTTCTCATCATGAGGAACACTTTTGTTCCTCATAATGACATTTTGGAAAATAATCTGATGTTTTTCACTAGTGGGGACTGCCTATGTGTAATGAGTGGAACTCTGTGAACTTGACAAGTACACATATCCCATGAGGAACAAAACTTGTTCCTCACAGTGAGATACAGGGAATTACCCGGTTTGGTAAAGCCAATAGATAATAAGTTATAAGTAATTGGTTATGAGAGGTCCAGAAAAATAGATCGTTACCTTATTAGCAACAAAAACAATAAGCTGAACCGGTGAAAGGTGCTAATTAGATAGGGTCCTTCATCTTACCCCTAATTTTGAAAAAAAAAAAAAAAAAAAAAAAAACTAAAGGCGAAGGATGTAAATCACTAAATTTTATGGTTTAGCTAGTTTGATCTGAGATCTTATCATGAGCCGACGGAAAATTCTACAAAGTATTCTAATGACTAATATGCTAATAATATACAGGACAATTGATACATTGGGTTTGGGTGCAAGAGGCCATATGGAATGCTATCATTTTGGGTTAGCAACTTAGCATATAAAGGATGTTCTTGAGATTAGGATAAAGGCTTTGTCCAGCATAAGCATTTTGCAGGCAAGAGATAGCCTTCATGTGTGCGAGTAGAGTCTAGAGAGGCATAACATTGAGTATGTCATTGTATTTAGGTCCAATATGCTACGTTGCTAATCCAAAATGATAGTGAATCATGTATTCTTTATAACTTATTTTGTGTTCGTTTTTAGGTTTAGAAAGAAGAACAAATGGTGGATGAGATTTGGTGTTTTCTAGTTCTTATGTACTCATAATTATATTGTTCACAACAATGAATGCAGTCTCCTAGATTGCATGGAAGTCTTCAGCAAGGGAATCCACCGAGCAATGGTACCACTAGACAGCCATATGGATAACATCTCAGGTGTAGAGCTCGTAGAGTCGTCATCATCTTACCGGATGTTAACCCAAATGGATGTCATTAAATTCCTTAAAGCCCATGGCCAACAAGAGTTGCGCGATGCATTGGCACGCACCGTGAGTAGCACAGGTGCCATCACTGATACTATACTTGCTGTGACTCGTCGAACAAGAGCTATGGATGCCATCAAGTGTTTGAGAAGTGCTGGTCTTCAAGCTGTGCCCATAGTTGAGGCCCCTGATATTCCACCAGAAGGTCACAAACAGCTGATTAATGTAAGTGAAGTCAGAAAATCCTCTGTTCTGTTTAGTAATCTAATGCCTAATATGATATAGATTTTATGCTAGTGATTCTGGTTCATCGTGTAAAGATTTGTTAATCACGATATAGCTTCAGAAGAATTGACTATTTGTGTGCTCTTAGCTTGGGCACTCAACATATATTGATGAATAGCAAGACATATATACATAATTTAAGATCGAACTTGTGCTATGCAATTTGTAGGGATATGGCAGGAAACTCGTGGGGACCTTTTCAGCTACCGATATAAGAGGATGCCCGGTTGATTTGATGAAGTCTTGGCTACCATTGCATGTAAGGGAATTCATGTCGAGAGTGTATCAAAACCCTTCCCATGGGGTACCAGACTTGGTGAACTCTCCCAAGTTGCTTGTGAGTTGTTATGCTGATTCCTCCTTATTGGAAGTGATCGACTTGGTCACGAGTAGACATGTGCACAGGGTTTGGGTTGTCGATGAATTTGAGTATGGTACGATCCTTGGGGTCATCTCGCTTACAGACATAATCCGAGCTGTTAGAGCTGCTCTTATTTCGGCAACCTAGCTAGCACGATGGTTCTGAAGTGTTTCTAACTGTGTATCAAGTTTTTCAGACTTTGGCAAGGTTTTTTTTTTTTTTTGTCATCTATGTATTCTAGTGTAACGTCTAATGGTTAGTTTGATGCTTAAAGTGTGCTTCTGTAATGGTTAGTTTGTTGCTGAGAGTGTGCTTCTGTAAGGTGTTCAGGCCCGCAACATTTTTCTTAATTCTCGTGTTTGATGTAACTTTAAATGGGAGCTTGTTGCAAGGATACTAAGTTATGTTAGTGGTATGTTCATTTTTACAAGACCATATTTAACAACGCTATAATTGGGGTGAATAAGGAAGAATATATCTATAACTGAAATGTGATTTGGAATAACAAGATATTCTAAAAACGTGAACCACTCAATATCTAAATATGTATAATAACATCGTTTTTGATGAGTATCTCCAAGATCAAAACATTTGTTGTCATTGATTTTTTTTTTTAGTTCACATTGTTCGTCATAAACTATTGTTATGCCTGGGTCGAGACACAAGGAAGCAACTTCCCATGCCATGGTAAGAGGTAACTATAAAAGGCATATATAACCAACAAACATAACAGATTACCATGAGAAGAGAAGTGAACGAAACTCCAATCTTGTTGACACCAAAATCTAATCTTGTTGACACCAAAATCTATATCTGTAAGGGATTTGTAGACGCTTAATAAGTACAAGACCTTGCCAATGTTATAGGTGTCTGCCAAATGAAGTAGTGGCTCAGTGTCTCTTGGATTTCAGTTCGCTTCTAGATTGCATCATATAGCTGAAAACTTATTAATACAAGGTGCAATATTCAAATTACAGTTATAATATTATTCTAAGTTATTAAATACTCGTTGTATCTTAAGCGTAAAAAAGAATATCTAATTTAATATAATACAAGTATATGTCTAGTAATATAGAATTATCTTTCGTGTAACAACACCATATGATCCAATATTGTAGCGTCTTTTAATTTCCTTGTAAAGTATAATCCTGGCACCATTGTACATATTACCTTTTACAGCCTTATTTGATGATTTTGTAAAATAAGATATCAAAATGATGAAAAAAAATGATAATCGTGAACACACTCTAAACAAAAATAAACATTTAAGGATGTAGTAATGAACATTCATGCAAATAAAAATAAAACATACTCGTACAATAAGAAAATGAACATTTTGTACAAATTTAAAAGTTTATATAAACGTATTTCAATGTGAGTTAAATATATACAAACCAACATTTATTAATGTGAAAATTAACGTTATTCTAAATGAATATCTATTAATATGCATGTCAATGATCATAAATTAATATTTGAATCAAAATTCATTAAAGTGATGTTCAATGTATATATTATTAACAAAAAATGAAAATAAAATAGATATATGCTTATTTAACGCATCAAATATTTATTTTAATATAGTAAACAAAAAATTAATTATTTTAAAAACAAAACTACAGCAAATTTAAATCACAAATCATATCAATCACCTCAAATTCAAATAATGCAAATTTAAATCACAAACCATATCAATCACCTCAAATTCAAATAATAGTAAACCATAAAAAAAAAAAGAAAAAAAAAAAGAAAAAAAAGAGCACTAGTTATTATTCAAATAAAAACTCACATTTATTAGTGATTTTACAAAAAGAAATTTAAAATGATTTTACACAAAAAAAATACAAATGATTTCACCAAAAAAAGTTGAATCAATTGATGATGTTTGTATGAGTGTTAATTTTAGATATTAGGCCATTATATTGATCAATAAATTCTATAAATCAAAAATAGAAAAAATTGAGAATATGAAAAATACATAAGAGAAAAAATAGGCTAACTATCAGTTTCAAAATTTATTAAAAAAAATAAAAGTTAGCAAGAATTTTATCTATAATAGGCTAACCACTTTTTTAATCATTTGATATCATATAAAAATAAATAATATGTACAAATTTAATGTAGAATATCTGGCACATCTTTGATGACAAAATAATAGGACAATCAACGAAAGTCTTCAAATCTCCTAAGTGCTTAGTTATGGAGCTAAGTTTAAGGATCAATTGACCCACTATTTATTAAAAAAAACTTATGTAATAAAGTGTACATGTGGTTTAATGTAATTTGTTAATACATAAATAACTGCAATGTAATTTATTTCATGTAACGGAATAAAGTTATTGCGAATTTGCATTTATATGTTTTTTCTAATAATTAACTTAATTAAACTTATTATATTTAATGAAGAGTTATTATTTGTTATTTGAATCAATGAAAATTGTTGCTCATGTTTTCACCATCAAATTCTAATTATTTGGAACAATAGTAAACTCAATTGACTGAATCCATTACAGAGTAAGTAGATTGCTCCTTCTCAACAATTTGCATACCCGTTCTTCATTTTGGAAAGGAAATGTGGCGAAAAAAAAGGCAAATTAAGCTCTAAACAACTTTTTTTCCAGCTTGCAAACAAGTATAACAAATTAACAATATATATCAAAATTATCAGTCACTTTCTCATAAACTAAACCAGGTTGCATGACCTTTTTCAATTGAATACTCTTGTTCCATAGGCAAACTCAGATGCAAAAGTATTTTTTTCAATCAGCTGCATACACAAGTTATAAATAACACAGTTAAAAATCTACATTCAAAGTACATTAGAAAAAATTTAAAAATCCAAATTTCTATATATTCAAAGTATTTTTGATATATATAAGTAGATAAATAATATATTCCCTTAGAAAGTTTGATTAATTTTGTATATGGTTTACATATAGCTCTAAGCTATGTGTTTGCTAGAAGATCTATAGGTAGAGGGAGACAAACAACGTGTTTTATAACAAGAAAATTTTGGTAAAAATATGTGATTTCTAATTTGAACTTGTCAAGGATGAGAATTGTTTACATTCTGACGACCGTGATGTTGTATTATAGAAAGATTGTCTTTAATGAATACCCAATGACTATTAGACCCATTCTTAAAAGTTTATATCATAACAACCCTCTACAAACTAGTATTTTGATACTAAAGTTTGAAAGTCATGTGATGTTTACTCTAATTACAGATTCAAAAAAGAGAATGCAAAAGGCAAGGACACTTAAATTTGATACTATGTTTAGTTTATTTTTTTAAAAAGGGAAATTCTATGTGGTAATCACGAACTTTTATTTTTTTCTTATTGGTAAAATTTGAAACTTTTTATTATCAATGGTAATCAATAAATTCTATTATTAAGCAAATGATAACTTAAGTTAAACAATTTGTTAATTTCTTAACCATGGTTTAGCTATTGGACTGCAAAAAGACACAACTACCCTCATTTAATTACCCCCAACCAAATTAATCAATAATCAATAAAAACAAAAAAGAAAAATTCAACCTCTTCCCCACCCACCCATCCACCGCCAACCCCCTCCATGCCGACGTTTAGCTCCCCTAACCCCGGCTAACGGCTTTCCCACTCCAAAAACGACCCCACTTCCCTTGTTCAGGCTCCCAAATCATTCTCCCCTTTCAATTATTGTTCCAATTTCGACAATTATACACTTTGCTGGAAATTAAGAAGTTTCATTAATTATCACTTTAATGTTAGTTGAAAACAAGTTTCCTTCAATTGGAGAATGAAGATGCAGCAGCAAAATGTTAATTGTTGGTGGTAGTTGGTGTCTATCAGCTGAATCGGTTGAATATGCGACGATCCGTGATGACGAACTCAGCTCGCTAGTGAGAATCGGTACAGTTGAAGGTGGTGAGAATCGGCGCTCTTGCGACGCTGATTGTCCTTGCGCGCACCAGCAATGGCGGCAATCTTATTTCCAACCTCGATCGAGTCGACTCAGTAAGATGTAGATGGCGGAAAATCCTTGATTTTATTTAGGGTTTGAGAATAGGGGGAGGGGTGCTTGTTTTGGGATTGGGGTGTCGGTGGTGGGGGTCTCCGGCAGGGGAGGGGGTTGAGACGCTGTCTTCCAGGCCGATCTGATTGTTGGCAAGGGGAGGGGGGCTGGCGGTTAGCTGGTGGGTGGGTGGGTGGGTTGGGAGGAGTTTGTTTTTTTTTAAAAAAAAATAATTTTAAGGGTACTAATGTAAACTGTTACTTAACCAAGATTAACCCTGGTTTAATGTTACCATTTGCTTAGTAACATTAATTATTGATTACCATTGATAATCAAAAGTTTCAGACTTTACCACTGAGAAAAAATAAAAATTCGTGGTTACCAGAGAGAATTTCACTTAAAAAAAATCTCTAATGTAAGGTGGTCATATACTCATATCTAATTGATTCCGGCAACCTTATACCTATTTAACTTGAAAGAAGAAGAAGAAAAAAAAAATTATCTCCATATACCTCGCTTTATACTGCTTTCCACTGAAACTATGCAGCATGTCACTATCGTCCACCATTTCTGTTTTTTCCTCATTCAGCCACCCTATCCATCCCCATTATCCGTATTCTTTCCTCACTCAACTCTCCTAAGTCCTAATTGAATCCATTAACCACACTACTCATCCACCACTTCCCTCCTCACCTCTAACCACCAATAAGAATCTTTAATTCTTTACCAACTACCGAAAAAATGTCAACTACTACCTCAATTTTCCTAAGACTTTCTCGCTTTTCATATTCATCCGTTTTTCTAAGTTTTACTTAATTTATTTCTTTTATGACAACTTTTTATTTATTTTTATCATTCACAAGGACACAACCCCACTTTATGGAGCCTAATTTTATTTAATAAAGCTCTTACTCTCTACTTTAATATAAAAGTACCCACATTTATAGTCCCCATTTTTAATTTTCCTTGGTTTGTGTAGCTACGGTAACTAGAATAAATATAATAAAATATAAATATTATTTTGGAAAATTTGTCTAGAAGGGACATATTCACATATATGTTCACTTGTTTGTTTGGAGGGACCTTATAAATTAAAGTGGAGAGAAAGGCCTTATAAGTGCATTTTGTTGTTAGGGGGAACCTTGACGTCGAAATCCGACCGTTGACTTCTTTTTTTGGCGTTGACCTCACACGTGACCTTAAACAATGACCCTCCCCTTTCTTTTTTCCATGTTTTCCCTCCATTTCCCCTATTTTCCCCAAAAATCTCCCCCAAATTCTCTCTCTCCTCATCTTCGTTGGTTCCAAACCCTAATCCAATTCTGTCATAGATGGAGTGAATTAGACGATATGTGATGATGAGATGCTGTGCTAAAAGGGAGGGGTTATAAAACTTCAATGGATTATAATGCCCTCTATTGTGAAATGATTGAGAGGGGTCAAAAGATAGTAGGTAGCATGAGAATAACCCAAGTTGATTTGCATGAATTTGGTCGATAATTTCGAACAAAGAAAGGATTAGGGTTTGGAACCAACGAATTTGAGGAGAGAAAGAATTTGGGGAAAATAGGGGAAAATGGAGGGAAAACGTGGAAAAAAGAAAGGGGAAGGTCATTTTTTAAGGTCACGTGAGGTCAAACGCCGTAGAAAAAAGTCAATGGTCAGATTCCGACGTCAAGGTCCCCCCAAACAACAAAATAGACTTATAAAGTCCTTTGTCACCACTTCAAATTTATAAGGTCCTTCCAAACAAATAAGTGAATATATGTCTTTTCTACACAAATTTTCCTATTATTTTTTGACATATAATAAAATATTAACTAATACACTCGTCAGTAATCCACAATCATGACTATAGATAATACTTTCTACATTGTACAAATATTGCAACAATTACCATTTTATCTGATTTGAAATAACAAGATAATCTAAAAAAACACAATTCATGAGTCGAAGCATGAACCACTCAACATCTAAACATGTATAACATCGTTTCTGAAACATTTGTTGTCGTTGATTTTTTTTCACATTGTTCGTCATAAACTGTTGTTATGGTCGAGACACAAGGGAAACAACTTCCCATGGCATGGTATAAAAGGCATATCTAACCAACAAACATAACAGATTACCATGATTTGCAGTGAACGAAACTACAATCTCGTTGACACCAGAATCTATATCTAAAAGTAAGGCTTTGCAGACGCCTAGTGGCTCAGTGTCTCTTGGATTTTAGTTCGCTTCTAGATTGCATCATAGCTGAAAGCTTATTAACCTCGTATAACAATCCTGCGGAGAACAAGAAGCTGAAACAAAAATTTCACTGGTTAAGTTCATTCCAAAATTGAAGCATTTCACACAGAAACAAAATCCTCAGGCATAAAATTATTATAAATTTAAAGATCATTAAAAGACCCCGAGCTCAGTAAACAGAAAAAAAATTGTAAACACATGCTAGATGCTATGTAAAAAGAACAGCAGAACTCCATGATAGAGAAAAGTTTTAATTCATGTGTTGATGGTATTATGGAGCACAAAACTAGAGTAATTGACCAGTGAGAATACATCGTAACACAGAATAGTATGTTGCTCACTTGCTCTTATTGGTAGATTCACAAAAATCATAAGAGCATTTTTTTGCATAGGCTGTATGCAGATAGATTTTAGGGACAAAACATAGCGAACACGACTCAAAAGCCCTCATCATATGAAAACTTTACTATTAACATCTCCCGATAATATGTAAATACATAAGATTCTACTCTTTGGCTCTGGATTAAAATGGACGAGATAGAAAATGGCTCAGTAAATTGTAAACTTAATATTTCCTAGTTCAGCTAGGATTATTGCTTTACGGATCAAAGATCAATTGGAAACAACATTTCTATATGTAAACAAGGATCAGGCTATGTCCCTAAACTCACTTGCTATTAATGGGAGTCTCTTCGGCGTTGGCAAATTGTCAGGGCTCTTCAAATCTTCATAGACATTAGTCATTACCACACCATTGGCTCCACTGCCCTTCCCCCCCAGCCCCACCCCCCAAAAAAATCATTTCCCCTTCCCCGGTGACTGGCTCTGCTCTCTCCTTGGTCCATTGCATTCTCCTGGCCACTTCACTTTCCCCCATTCTACCCTCATCAAACCAATCACTAGTAAGCTTTGCCTTCTAGTGGCTGCTCAAGCTCTCCCTTCTTGCCAAGACCCCTTTCTTTACTTGAGTAAGTCTCGGTACTATCCTAACAAGTCAGTGAAAAACAGAAACCAAAACCATTTCTTTCAAATAACATTGACAGATTTTTGGACAAATGTGATGCAAAAAATAGACTCAAGCAGTGATCTTTTGCCTCAAAATCCTTAAAATTATTAGAACATGTTAGACCTGATTTTGATTTATCTAAACTATATTTTAATTGCAAATTGAAATTTTCAGGCCCTATTGCATAGCTTGCAAGAATGAATAAATGTACTAAAGAATCATATGGAACTTTGGACCAAGATCCTGCATCAAATTTAGTTGCTAAAAGGAACCTTTGAAAGGTCTATAAGTGTAAAAAGGTCAATCAAATATTACCTTATTGATGCCCATTTGACTCATTTAACTAGAAAGCCAAGCTTATAATGGAGATTCATTCTTTATAACTCTTTCAATTAAATCCGAAAGATTACACAAGATTATTTTAGATGATAAAGATAAGTCTTACAAGTGTGAAAGCAATTTAAAGTGAAACAAAACAAACAGAATGGAAAGTTTTAACCCTAGCAATTTTTGAACGATTCAAATATTTTTTGAACTTTAAAATTACACAAAGTAATTTTCAAGATAAGATAAGGGAGCATAAATAAATAAAATTTTCCTCAAAAAAAAAAAAGAAAAAAATTGTTTAAGAGCACCAGTAAATAAATGATTCGTGAACCTTAAAGAATGAACATTCCTTTCTTCATGCCTCATTTACCAACCAAATTTGAAAATGTTTCCAATTTAGTTTGAAGACTCCACCTTGATGGGCCTTAATGCTTTTGTTTATTTATGAATGATGGAAGTCAAACCCATGTTGCAATATGTTATGCCAGGTCATATTATTAGCTCACAGGCTGTGCGTGCGTGGACTATGCAAATTGTTCTATATGGCTATTTGTGTAAAGCCCAATACGTGTGACAAGTTGATGCTTTGGGCTGGACGAATTTTTGGACTAGATAATTATTTAGTTTATTCTTATATATTTATATTGTGATAATTTTTCTATTTATATTATCTCTAACAAATTTATCTTGTATTATGATAAGATATTTATCTCTCTCTAACTAATCTGTTTTGCAGATTCCTTTAAGGAAGGGATAAAGTTTAATTTAATTTTGATTCTATTCTTATCTAATGTTAACCGAATTGCTTGAGTTTAAATATTTGTTTTACAGATATCCCTTGAAGATAGGCAGAAGTTATTTCTGTTGAAGATGAAGCCCAAGAATAGCGCAAGACTTATTCAAATGAACGTTGAAGGTTCAACGGCTCTTCAAATTCAAATATCAGAAATTCAAGCCTCTCAACTCTATAAATAGCGTGCAACACTTCACAAGAAGCATTAAGAATTATCAAGTTTCATTCGCTATAGCAAGAGTTGTTAAATACTTTCTCTCTAGTTTATCAATTACTTTATTTTGTAGTTAGATTGAGAGAAAAGAAAAGAGTGAGTGCTTAAATTTTGTTATCAAAAGAGTGATATACCATGAGTAGTATTATAATATTCAAAGTATAGTAAAAGTAAGGTACCTTTATTTTGGCGGCTCGGGAAGAAGATGGGAGATCTTCTAGATGCTTTAGGACTCTAAAGGAAGAAATAAAAAGATTTAAAATCCTACGGGTTGGACAACCCTAGGCGGAGACGTAGGCATATTTGCCGAATTTCGTAAAAATATCGTTGTGCCTTGTCTCATCTTTATTTGCTTTACTTACTCGTTTTTATTTCTGTTTTAATTCGCAATTTATAATCTGCTTTAGTTTCTAAGTTTTGTTTTTAAGTTTTTGAACTGAATCTCAAAGCTTTGACTTTAAAAGTGAATCAGTTTATTCCGCCTTGAAACTGAGTTCAAAACTTTGAGATTCTTATTTACAAAAATTTGCTATACTCTAGAAGGGGGGGTTGAATAGAGTATGGAAAATTTTCGTAAATAAGAATCTCAAAGTTTTGAACTCAGTTTCAAGGCGGAATAAACAGATTCACTTTTCAAGTCAAAACTTTGAGATTCGGTTCAAAAACTTAAAAACAAAACTTTGAAACTAAAGCAGATTATAAATTGCGAATTAAAACAGATATAAAAACGAGTAAAGTAAAGCAAATAAAGATGAGACAAGGCACAACGATATTTTTACGAAGTTCGGCAAATATGCCTACGTCTCTGCCTAGGGTTGTCTAACCTGTAGGATTTTAAATCTTTTTATTTTTTCCTTTAGAGTCCTAAAGCACCTAGAAGATCTCCCATCTTCTTCCCGCGGCCCGCCAAATAAAAAGCTACCTTACTTTTATTATACTTTGAGTATTATAATACTACTCATAGTATATCACTCTTTTGATAACAAAATTTAAGCAATCTTGATATACTTTTCTTTTCTCTCAATCTAACTACAAATTAAAGTATTTGATAAACTAGAAAGAAAGTATTTAACAACTCTTGCTATAGCGAATGAAACTTGATAATTCTTAATGCTTCTTGTGAAGTGTTGCACGCTATTTATAGAGTTGAGAGGCTTGAATTTCTGATATTTGAATTTGAAGAGCCGTTAAACCTTCAATGTTCATTTGAATAGTCTTACGCTATTCTTAGGCTTCAAATTCAACATTCATCTTCAACAGAAATATGTTCGGCCTATCTTCAGGAAATATCTTCAAAACAAATATTTCAACTCAAGCAATTCGATTAGCATTAGATAAGAATAGAATCAAAATTAAAATAAACTTTATCCCTTGCTTTAAGGAATCTGCAAAACAGATTAGTTAGAGAGAGATAAATATCTTATCATAATACAAGATAAATTTGTTAGAGATAATATAAACTGAAAAATTATCACAATATAAATATATAAGAATAAACTAAATAATTATCCAGTCCACAAATTCGTCCAACTTGTCACACATATTGGGCTTTACACAAATAGCCATATTGAACAATTTGCATAGTCCACGCACGCACAGCCTGTGAGCTAATAATATAACCTGGCATAACATATTGCAACATGGGTTTGACTTCCATCATTCATAAATAAACAAAAGCATTAAGGCCCATCAAGGTGGAGTCTTCAATCTCCCCCTTGATGGAAGTCAAAACCATCATTAAAGTAACCAATAAACCTGCACACAAAGTTAATATCCAAAACATTTATCATATAACAAGCAGGAAACTTCTCCTCCTTTTTGACATCCAACAAGGGAGGGAAAATGTTTGGAACAGTTAAAAAAAATGTTAAAAATATTACAAAACAGAAGTTCAAAGTGAAAAACAGAAATAGGAAAAACAAATAATAAGGCCTTGATCCCAGCATCAATTACTTCCTACCTTGCTGATAACGTACATCAGCCTGAGCCCGGTTAACAAAACGCTTATGAGCCTCCCTCATAGTCTTGTCCCTTTGCATCTCATCCAACCTTCTCTGCTCCTCAGCTCTATATTTCTTCACCACTCCATATTCCTCAACTGTGATGATAGATAGTTCAGACACTAGAGGTCGAAGAATTGGTCGGTTGCACACTGAACGTTCACAGTTTAGGAGGACATTTGCAGATTTCTCCCTAGCATGCTCAGCAGCATCCTCATGAAGAGGCATAATACTGCCGTAGCAGTGAAGGAGAGGGCATTGAGGTGAAACAGTTGATTTACTTTGGCATTGACAATGGCCAAGAGTTCATGGGTTTGGTCAAGCTTGCTGTCAAGGTCTTGAATGTCACGACGGAGGTCATCCAAACCAAACTCTAAGGCATCTAAGCGAGAAGAGGATAAGGAAGAGTCAGCAATGCCTTTCCCCTTAGACAGAGAGGAGGGTAGGGCAGCAACTTCCTCTGGAGTAAGGTCAGAGCGAAGCTTTCCAAGAGCCATCGGGAGACACAGAATGCTGATTTTGGTAAGAAATCTAGACCAACTTTAGGTGATTGAATGCGCTCAACTTCTTCATTTTCAAGAGAAATGTTGAAGAATTGGAAGATTTTGGGAAGTAAGTTGGCGTAAGGCAGAGGCATTAGCCTGGAAGATGAAAAGCAGTGGACCATATGATTTAGGATTAGAAACGGAAAATCAAGGTCATAGCCATTAAAGAGCAAGAACAGAATATCAAGGGTTTGATCGGTAAGTAGTTCCCTAGAGTTTGTTCGGGGAACTATACATCGCACCAAATATGTGAAAAGTATTTTAGGTTCAAGGCGAAGAGAGAAGTGTGTCAATTGATGAGAGGAAGACAGATTTGGAAGCAAGAATTGTTGTTCTTTAGCCTGAGTGACACATTCTAAACGGGAAGGATGAGAATCCCGTGAAAAGTCAGGAGATGTGCCTAAAATCTGGGCTAAAATTGAGGAATTCAGAGAGATTTCTCTCCCTTTGACAAGAGTATCAAGGGTAATTTCCCCACAACTCCTTTTAACCACCATATTGATGTAAAATAGGCGGGTGAGTCTAGGATAGGCAACATCAGAAACAGAGGACAATTTAAACATATTTGACTCTCGAAACACCTTAAGAGAATGTGATTGAGCAGATGAAATAAACTCGATATCCATCAATTCAGAAAAGCAAAGTTTCCAAGAGTGAAAACCATCTTTCCCTTTACCATGGGATGTATTATTTCGAAACCAAGAGGATGGAAATGAAGAAGTTACCTCTGCAGATGGATTGACGGGAACAGAAGGGGTAGGAATCTGAGACGAAGAGAAGTCTGAATAAAGTATGGTCAAAGAAGCTTGGCGGCTTGGCCCAAAGGTGTCATTATCTACCGCACTCTGCTAGTCTCTTGATACTGCTACGTAGCCTATATCCCAACAGGTAGACCACCCTTTAAAACATTAACAATAAATCACATGCCCCTTGTCCATCCAAAGTTAGAAAGCACACTTGGAAAATATGCCCATATATAAAGATTAAAGCACATTCACTGTGTAGCTCAGACTCGGGTATCGTGTCCAACTTGGCCATTTCATGAATAATTTCCATGAATTTGGCCCAAAAGAATGGTCAAAGTATCCTATCCATGTCCAAGGACCCAACATGGGTACTACAAATAAATTGAAGAGTTCGAGTAAAATAGATTACACATGTAGACCCACTTTTTATTTGTAATAAAATCAATGTACAGATCAAAGTTATCAAACAAACAATTTTTAAAAATTTAGGATTCATTTGCATACCATGTTGTGATACAAACTCGGTGGACAGTACCAGCAACAACAAGAGCGACTAATTCAGCAACTATAACTGCAAAAAAGAAAAAAAAATATTAATGCCAAGCATTACAAAATAGTTCAGATCATCAACTTTTTTTTCTTACACTAAGTTTGGACAGCAATTGTTGAAGGAAAGAAAGGGCCGGAAAGGAGAGGGGAAATGGGAAAGACAGGGAAGTGAGGTGACGGAATGAAAGTGGGAAGAAAGGGAAGTGAGAAAATAAATGAGCTAGGAATTTCCTTCCAATTTTTAACAACATTGGAAGAGCTTAGTTTATTTAAAGGGAAGGAAAATAGATCCATCCAACTCCCTTTCCTCTCTCTAAAGTCATATACAAACATGGAAAGTTGAATCCCTCACTTTCTATTCCCTCCATGGCCTCCAAATTACCCTAACCTGACACACTCTTGACGTGTACCTTCTATATGATTTTCTTTGTTCCACATTTCTATATGTTCGACAAAGCTTCATAGGAATAACTTACTCCCCACACATAAAAATAATTCAGTTCATATAAGCAGAGCAGAAAGATGGAATTTACCAGCACCCCACCCAGTTTTGGTGCCACTGGACTCTTGAAAATTCGCAATGAACTGCAGTAGAAAATAAACAAACAGAAAAACAAATTACTAATCAAGCTAAAATTAAGTCACATGCAAGACCAAATATCTCATAGTATTAGAACTCAAGCCCAAACAAATGAAAAATTAGATGGCAAACTCACAATGAAGAAGAAAAGAAACAATAGCGAGCTAATGAACCCTCCAAGAATGGTGAATAACTCTGATGATGCTAACTTCGCTCTATATATTACTTCAAGTGAGAGAACTACAGTGAACATAAGAAAGGAGAGAAGCATCGAATTTCCGGTGCTCGCCATTGCCCTTCATTCAAGAGGAGAAAATGGCAATATGAATTATAAGTAATTACAGAAAAAGACCACAGCAATATAGCACAGACTCAAACGAACGCAATGTCATTAATCGGAACAAGACATCGTATTTAAGCAAGGTAGCAGTCTAGTTTTATTCCGACTGATATCGATCATAGTAATAGATAACTGAACACTCAAGTGATCATACTGCCACTTCGAATATCCATATAACGTTTCGAGTGCAAAAATACTGCCCCATCTACATTTCCTAAGCGCTAAATATCTAGGTCTACTTAAACTCAGATCAATTCCATAATAATGATATCAATTCATCAGAATTTCGATTATTACCACCAGATTTATCAACCAAAACCTAAACATAAGAACAATAATTAATCAATGATGTTTGACATTGATTCAGCTAATCATCAACAAATTGGTAAAATAAGTATCAATATTCACGGAATTAACAAGATAAGCAGCCATTTTAGGGGAGAAATCTGGAAAATATGCGAGAAATTTAAACAAGAAACAAAATAATTAGAAGCGATCAAACAAACATTAGAAAAATGAATATCATATAATTTGAACAGATACACTAAATAGATCGAAGAATTTGAATATGAAAGGAGTGCGATTTTTGAAGAAAGAGATTGAGGAACTTACCAATCAAATCGGCAGCACAAGACAAGAGAAAGAGTATGGAGATGAAAGGTATGGAAACCTCATGTATTCTGGATTTCTGGAAGTTCTTGAGGGTGATATAGTAATTTTCAGCCGTAACTTTATTTTTTTTTAACGTGGGAAAGGGCAGAGCACCTGTCCAAAACTGGATCAGACTTGAACCGGGACCGGAATCGGAATACTCCCTCCGATCGCTATTATTTGCAACTTTTGCCATTTTTGGCCGCCCAGCATTATCTGCAACTTTTAATTTTTTTCCGTTTTTAGTATATTTTTATGTGTAAAATGACCATTTTACCCTTACTTATTTATTTATAAAATCAGATTATATCTCTAATCTTATTTAATTATCTAACCTAATTAACACTAATATTTTCAAACAAAAAAATAAAATTCTGATTTCCTAACCTAATCTACCTACCCACCCAACATCATCACATCAAATCACTTTCTTCTCTAACCCAAGAACACTCTAGACTCTAGAATACGGTGTTCTTCATATTTCTGGGTTTTCTCATCTTCACTGTCTAGGGTTTTCTCTTCTCTTCCTCTTCCTCCTCTTCCTCTTCCTCTTCTGGGTTATCGTTTCTTCAATCTTTGAGTTCCACTCAGTTGCTGTCCTAATTGCTACGCTTTTCTGGGTTTTCGTTTCTTCAACATACACCTCCATAAATGAGTCCCTGCGTTTTCTGTGGTTTTCTGTGTTTTATCTTGCGAGTAAACGATGATTTTTTTCTCCATTAATCTATCAGAGATCTGTGGGTTTTCTTGGGGTTTCTGGGTTTGGAAATCGTTACGATTTTGTGCCCTAATTTCTAGGGTTTTTTGGGTTTGATCTTGCGATTAAACGGTGGTTTTTTCCTCCATTAATCAATCAGAGATCTCTGGGTTTTCTTGGGGTTTCTGGGTTTAGAAATCGTTACGATTTTGTGCCCTAATTTCTAGGGTTTTTTGGGTCTGATCTTGCGATTAAACGGTGGTTTTTTCCTCCATTAATCAATCAGAGATATCTGGGTTTTCTTGGGGTTTCTAGATCCCGAAATCGTTACGATTGTCTGATTAATTTCTAGGGTTTTCTGGGTTTATTTCCTCCTTCAAAGAGTTCCACTCAATTTTGTAGCCCTATTTTCAGTCACTGCGTTTTCTGGGTTTTCAAATAATTTGCGATTTGTAGCCCTATTTTCAGTCATGAATTTAACCCCTCTCCACATTGCAATTTTTGCTTCAGAAAATGAAGTTGAAAGGGGGATGATAAACGCTTTTCTTGATGCGTTTGAGTCAAAAAAATTCTGGCCCTGTGAGCTTTATTATTCCGGCAAGGGCCGTGATATTTTGAGTCCAAAATTGTGGGAGGTACTTGGTTCTGTGGTTAGATCAATTGAGGCTGAACCAGTTTCTTGTGATTCCGGCGACAGTGATCCTGATGAATGAGTCCCCTGATTTTGGCGTCGGTATATTTCTGTGAAACCCTTACTCATTTAATTTCAGTTTATTTTATAAGTAGTATCATGTTTAGGTGGTGGAATTGTTATTATGATGCAGGCCAGTAACTTCAGTTACTGGCAGGGTTGGATTGTGGTGATTTGTTTGTTGTTGTTGTTTGTGAAACAACATGTGTGTTATGTTGTTTAGGCTGTAGTGTGGTTTATCAAGTTTGTTGTTATTGCTACTTCCTGCCTTGCCTTGTTGGAGTTCCTGCATGTTGCTACTTGCCTTGATGAAGTTCCTGCATGCCTATTTTGGTGGAGTTCCTGCATGTTGCTACTTCGTTGTTTGACTTCATGTCATGATGAGTTGGTTGGTATGAACATTTAATGAGTTGTTGATGTCCCTTTCATTCATGTCCCATGTCCCTGTCTTGATGAATTGGTGTGTATGAAGATTTAATGACCCGAGGAAGTCCCTTTGATGTGGTTAAATGTCCCTGTCATGATTATTATTTGGTTGGTATGATGAGTTCACTGTCCCTTTCATTCATCTAAACAAAAGTACTCCGCCTTTTCAATACTCCTATCTATTTTCAATAAAGGGCTAATCCAAATGATGAAGGGACTCATTTTAGTAAACTAATCCAAACATGTGATGCTCCAGTCTATGTTATTAGATTCTGAGGTACTATGTTTGTTGATGGTTTGTGAGAATGTAAATACCCAACTGATGGATTTAAAAGTTCAGTTTACTTCTTCAAATCTTTAACTGGACTTCATTCAAATTTAAAAATCAGTTACATACGAGTCCCATTACAAAAGATGTAACAATACAAATGCCCTCAATCTGATTGCACACAAAACCAACAATACAAATGCCCTCAATCTGCATCCACCCCTTCCATTGCAACTGTTTCTTGTTCTTCTGTGTTTGTTTGGATGAATGAGTTGTTCAAGAAAGTACATGCTTGGTCCACCAAACCTTGGTCGACTTCTAGTACTTCCGGTAGCAACCCGAGTCGTTCTAGCCTTAGCTTTCCCATGTGTGGTATTTTGTAGTTGTTGCCCCCGTCACACTTCAGAATTTCAATCATACATGATTGTAATGTTAACCATGTGTGTTTGCTCACCATAGGGTCAAACTCATGATATGCAACGTTAACTCTTTCAACCAATTCGTCTAATGTTTTCGGAAATGCTTGATGTTGAATTGATTGAATTACCCTGAATAGACCTAAGTCTAGAACATTTAGGTCCGGTGATTGTGGTGGTTGAAAAACGAACTATATGTTGAACCCCCCCTCCTCCAATGCAGCCAAAAACTCTTCATCTGTCGGCACTTGATGTGGCCTTGCATTGTCCCATTGAATTATAACATGTTTTGGCAATATGCTTGGCCATTTGCTTCTTATTGCTGGTAGAACTTCATTGATCAACATATTCCTTATTTCACCCCGATTTACGTTTTGTGTCGCTTTTGTTTCAATAGTACCTGCTGGCCTATTTTTGCTTCCTTTCTTTGCAAGTTGTTGATAAACAAAAGGAATGATACCATACTTTCCATCATGAATCAGTTGGTCTTGTTCATCAAACAACGGTTTGCCTATTATGCCCATAAACATTGCCTTACACTTGAACCTTTTTGATTGTTCACATCTGTATGGATCTTCTTCATTCGGAAGAAGATAGAATCTTCTTGTATCCGGGTTTAGATAAAACCACTTCTCGTCGATGTGAATGACATGATTCATTGCATGAAATGTGGGAGGTGATGTATGTGTTGCTGGCTGTATGTGTGAAAGAACCCACGTCAATCTTGCTATTTTGTGATTTGAAGTGAGTCTTGGCTTGTTTGTGCTAGTGTGCGTCCTCAATACCCCCTTCTTCTTTAATTCATGGAGTGTTGATTTTGATATCTTCAATGCACCTGCATACCCCCTCTCTGTTGTCCTTAAATGAAGTGGTACCGGCTGTAAAAATTCGGCTGTATACTCTCTTGATTTTGGCCCACATTTGCCAATTTTTTTGTTCCTCACATCAATGACATTCCCCCCTTCCAGTTGTTGCTTAATGTCTTGAAAAACACGGGTTATTGTTGACTTGTGTACACAAAATTGCCTTGCAAGATGTGTTAAATGCCCTCTTGGTAGTTTACCGTTGCGTAAAACAAGTAACATTTCATCGATAATCTCACGTTTCTTGGCTATAGTGAGCTGCTGCCTTCCAATTGATCGTGTTCCACCGCTGCCTTCTGCGTTTCCATGGTTCTGTTGCCTTCGGTTGCAAATGTGTTGCCTTCGATATGGTTGGTGTGGATGCTTTCATTATGGTTGCCTGTTGTCTGATTGTCCCCGTGGTTAATGTTGGTGTATTCTGACATATACCCTGCATTTTCTGCCCAATTGTACTCCTCCTCAAGTAGTACATCGGCGTTATAAAAATCATCTTCATCGGAACATATTGTGAGTCCCTCGAACTCATTGTTGTCCAGTACCGTTTCTTCATATGCGTTCATGCATTCCTCGTGTAATATTGTTTCAACGCTCCAATAGTTGTCCATTTTCAGGTACAACCAATGCAGAAACAAATTCTGATTTTTTTTGGTGTTTTTGGATATGTACTGAAATTTCAACAACAAACGAGCAAAAGATTCTTGTGGATGATGTTCATACGCTGACACAAGAACAAGAGTCCCCCCTTCACCTTCCTTTATGGCTGCTGTACCTTGAAGCTGTTTTTTTGGAAGCTTGAAGAAGATGACAAAAAAAATGACAAAAAAAAACAGCAACATGATTCCTGTTTTGTAAGAGAAATTCTGTTTTTTTTTTTGTGGAGGGAAAATTTTATTTTTCCCTCCAAAAAAAGTTGTAATTGTATGTGGAGGGAAGAATTCTAACTTTCCCTCCACCACCAAGTATCCACCTTTATAATGTAAAGCCCCATGTGTCTCAATCTGATTTTCTTTGGTGGGAAATGGGTCCCCCACCAAAAAATCAGATTTTGTCCCATTATTTTACCAAAAAATAAAGTGGTTGTACTTTTTTTTTCTCTCTCCTCTTAATTTATTTCTTAAACTACCCCTCAATTATTTTACCAACTTTTACTTCGTGGACCGCAAACTCCTCCAAAGTTGCAAATAATAGCGACCGGAGGTAGTATTAAAAATCCAAGAATCGAGGACCGGGTTATGTTTTGGACCTGAATTTTTCAATAAGGCATGGTTCAGTTTTGAACTGACTTAACCTGATTAGCAAATTTATTTAAAAAAAAAGTTGCAAATCGATAAAAATTAGTTTCCCCTTAATAATAATAATAATAATAATAATAGTAATAAAAGCTCATAAACAAGCAAAAGATTCATGTTACAACAATTTAATCAAATAACACATTCTCGTTTAACTTAATATTGTATTTATGTAATAATATTCTTCTGTGTGTATAAATGTGTTCAATTATAATTATCTTTATTATATAACCCAAATTGCCCCTTAAAATTAAATAATGTTAATTGATATAATATTTTAGTTAAAGATTCCAATCAAGCAATAATAGGAAAATTAAAAGAAAATAAAATTACTCCCTCTATCCTTAATAACAAACTTGTATTCCATTTTGGGTAACCAAAATTACAAGCCTGTTTTTATTTAAAGATTTTACTTTGTTACAGTATCACCCTTTTTTGGCGATTTGTTATCATTTTTTTCTTTTCTTTTTTGTACTTTTGACATCAATTTCCAACACTTTCTCTTTCCCTCTCTTCAATAATTCTCAACCACTTTTTTTTTCTCTCTATCTTTCTTTACCCCCACATGCATATTTGTACGGATCACAATCATTAATATTAAGAAATCTTGAGAAACCTTAATTCTACACCTGATCAAACGTCGGGTTGGGCTGATGATCTGTTTTTCTGCCCATATTGTCAGGCCAGGCCGGGCCAGGATTTAGGCCAGAATGTTGCTGCCCAAACCCGTCCCAGTCGGGCCTACCAGGCCATTTCGGGCCTGCTTGTCTAAAGTCATCAATTTTAATTATTTTTTGTAATTTAAAGATTGTTAGTGCATAAAACTATAAATTTTAATTTTTTAAAATTTAAACTAAACTAGTACAAATAAATAATAAAAGTTTTGAGTATGGAAGTACAACAAAGCCTACAAATATTAAAAAAGATACAATCCAAGTTCCAACAAAATTTAAGTTTACAAACTAATGTCCAAAACACACAATATTGAAAATTATACTAGAGTTAAATTATAAAACTAATCAACTTCAATAGTCTCGCGTTGAACTTTGTTTTGCTCATCTTCATCTTCTTCGTCTTCATAATTGGGTTTTGAGGTGAGAAAATATTTGATCCACCTTGACAAAATGAAAAACATATACAAAAGGTTAGTTAAATGAATAATAAAATAAAAATACAATGACATTAAAATGATACAAAACATCACCTAAAGAGAAACCTTTTGCACGAAGCCAATCCTCATAGCAAGAAAGGGATTCAATTGTCATGGAAGTAAGTGAAGCCCTCCATGGATTAATTAGCTTCTTACCCATACTAAAAGCCGACTCGGAAGGAACAGAGGAAATTGGAATGGCTAATATATCACGAACCAATGCCGCAAGTTGTGGATGTCGATGTGCCCTATTATTTTTCCACCAAACCAACACATCAATCTTGGAATTAAAATCAACATTCTTTTCTTCCACATAGAGATCAAGTTGAGACTTATCATTCACATTTTGTTGTTGACTACTCATCCAAGAACCAAAATTAGCCATCCTATCAGTATCAATAGAAAAAGAAGCATTGCTCGTTCTATTATCATGACTAACCTCATCACTTTCACCAACACCCCCACCATCAACATCTTTATACTCCCTAAGTAAATTGCATAACATAGCTTTCACCTCTTTCACTTTCTCCTTAGCATGTAATTCTCCATAAAGAGTAATGAAAGAATATTCAACAAAGTTCAACTTGTAACGAGGATCCAAAACACATGCACAACACAACAAAGTATGATAATCGGACCAATACTTGTCAAATTTCATTTGCATTGCTTTCACCATGTCAATTAAAAATGAATGTGGCCCATTTGTAGCTTCAAGTAACATGCATTGAATATTCCAAACACCCTTAAAAAAAAAGTTTGCAGTTGGAGTTTTATAAGAAGAGAATTCATTTGTGACATCATAAAAAAGCTTTAAAAACTCATGAATCACCGACACTTTTTTCCATTCATCATCATCAAGAAGATACATTTTGATGTCACTATCCTTATAAACTACATGATCAATTGTCTTCCTAAAATAAAGAGCACGATCAAGCATCAAGTAAGTTGAATTCCACCTAACACAAAAATCACCTCGAATTCCCTTTTCTTAGGATCCAAATGATAAGTTTTTTGAGCAATTTCATAAAACTTTTAATTCTTTGGATGGAGTACCTAAAATGCTTACCAATTGCTCTAATCTTATCCACAACACTATCAATGAGCTTAAGACCATCTTGCACAATCAAGTTTATGATATGACAACAACAACGAATTTGAAAATATTCACCACAAAATAAAAGCTCCTTCCCATTCCTTACAAGTTGTCTCTTAATTTGACTAGCCATAGTGTTATTGTAGGATGCATTGTCCAATGTAAATGTTCCTAATTTTCCATCAATTTTTCATTTAGCCAAACAAAGAGAACATCCTCAGCAATACTAATCCCATCAAAAGGAGGTTTTAATGCACCAAATCTAATAATTCTTTTTTGCAACTTCCAATTAACATCAATCCAATGAGCAGTTATGCAAATATACTCATCTTGTGTACTATCATTTCTCCAATTATCAGAAGTAAAACAAATTCTACCACAAGCATTTTGCAAATCAGATCAACAACTTTTCTTTCCTCTTCATAATACTTCAATGCATCTCTTCGTAATGTGTGTCTACTCAATACCTTATAACTAGGACAAGCAACGGAAAGCATGTGTTTAAAACCAGGTTCTTCAATAGTTGAAAAAGAGCAACAACAAACATGCAAGTGGCTTTTCTAAGTTCATTAGGATCAATTTTAGGATGTTTTAAAGATAATGATTGAGCTCCAGAACTACAATCAGCACCAAACAAAAAAAAATTTATGGAAGAATTATTTTTTGCAGCACATTTACCAAGATGTCTTTTTAAATGGGAAGTTCCATTGCTAGATTTGGTAGTAAAAATTTGCTTACAGTGCTTACATTTTTCTTTGGTTTCATTCTTGTCAGAAGTTTCAAGCTTCTTCATATCATTCCACCGCACACCGCTGATCGACCATCACGTATACTAGCATTTGCCTCTTCTTTGATTTTATCCTCTTCTCCAATATCAACACCATCAATTGCGCGTTTTTTACTTGTTTTGGACTTAACCATGATTTTAAAATTAAATCTGTATCACACACATAAACAAAAAAACAGAAAGATTTAATCATTTAAACCTGAATTTATAATATACTAATTAGTCGAAAATTACAAAAAAGATACAATCAAAAATTCAAAATTTAACATCGAAATAAACAGAATACTAGAGATAAGTACTCCAATTTCCAGAAATTAAGAACCCTAAATTGAAAATGCTGACAATTGAAAATTAAGAACCCTAGATTATGAAACTGAGACTAAACTCTAGAATATGAAATGAATATTCGATGTTTACAGAAAAAAGAAAATAAATATTAAAGACATCTTACATTCTTACCTCAAAAGCCGCTTAAATGGAGGAGAGAAAGCTCAAAAGGCGCTTCAATGGAGAACTCAGAGTAGGCTTCAATGGAGGAGAGAGAGTGCAGCGTTGTGTCTTGTGTGGAAGTCTGGAAGATTGAGAAGGAGAGTAAGGAAGAGGGAGTGAGTGAGTGACAGCTGCTGAAAATCTGAAATAAAAGAATAGGTTGTTAGGGTTTATTGCTTTATTTTCCATTTAAATGATTTAATCTAAATTCTGAAAATTGGACACCTTATTTTTTTCGGGCCGGCTGTCGAGAATTTTTTAGGGCCTATTTTTCCTTGCCCAAACCCACATTTCGGGCTCAAAAATTCAGCCCAAACCCGCATTTCGGGCTCAAAAATTCTGCCCAAACCCGGGCAAATTCGGGTCGACGGTCGGGCCATACTTGATCAGGTATACTTAATTTCCGTGAAAAAT